ACGCAATTTGGTGCTTGTACTACTATCTTTAAACACGGCATGATGCGGTAAGTAATAACACTGATCCGCCGCTGAAACGGAGTTCGTAATCGACATGTGCCCGAGTTCTATATATTCATTCATGAATTTGATGTAGTCGTTTTTCAAKCCTGTGTCCGATTGCAAACGCCTTTCTAACGACAGAAATCGACGTAAGGCTCTCTCATATGAGTTTCCTAAATTAAACGCCGTCTTAAATGGCAATACAACAATAAAACGTCCGTTATCATCGCGTTGGACGTGTTTTTCGAAGTGCTGCTTGCACGCACGCTCTTCCATATTGTATGATTGACCGGGTGCTATTTCTTCGAGCCGCCAAAATGCAGCCATTTGGTCTTCGAGTGTTGGTAGGCTTGGTGAAATATGCGTAAACAGCGATATACTAGCGTTCGTATTTCGAACTTTCGAGTGCGGTACCGGACCGGAAATAATCCATCCTAATCGCGTGTTCTGTAAAACTGGTCCGTTGGGTATTGGACGTAATTGTTCATTAATAATTAAATCGAAAAATATTTCGGCACCTAATATAATGTCGATTGCTTGTGGTGTGCCGAACGTGGGGTCTGCTAGCGCCAGCCCCGCAGGTAATTTAAGATTTGACGTTGCGACGGGCATTGATGGTAAATTAGTAGTTAATTTAGGTAAAACATAAAAATCTAAATTTGATAAATAGTTTGTTACGCGTGATTTTATATTCGTGTTTACTATATGAGATGCGGAATGCATGGATTCGTTAATACCGATAACAGCACATGACGTTCTTGTGCGTTTTAGTCGTAATTGTTGTGCCAGGGCCTCTGTAATAAAATTATGTTGCGACCCGCTGTCCAACAGTACACGACAATATGTCGGTTGACGATTGTTATTATAAACCATCACGGTTGCCGTTGATAATAAAATTTGAACGTCATTGTTTTTGCGATACGCATACGCACTCACCGATACGACCGGAGCGTTACTATTTTTGTCATCCTTTTCGTCGTCGCGGTCACTGACCTCGCTATGCGACGTGACTTGTCTGACAGGTTTATCGGTACGGGGTAGATGCAATAGGCTATTATGCRGGCGCGAACATATTGTACAGCGTCTTGATTGACACTTATCACCATCATTATGTGGCCTTAAACATATTTTGCATAATTTTAATTCGGTTATTCTTTTTATGCGATCCGAGATCGTCAACCCGAGGAACGATGGGCAACGATATATAGTATGTGCTTGTTTACACGAATAACATTTTACTTCGCCGGTGGCGGCAAACACGTTCGATTTTATCCGTTTGTTCGCATTTGTTTTGCGATTATGGTTTTCAAATGTTAACGCATTGATTTGTTGAGACGTCTCCACTGCCTCTAATACTCGAAATCTCGATTGTAAAAAGTCGGTAAGATTTGAAATGTTGGAAACTTCCGTTTTGGACGATGTGACTTCCCATTCTCTCATTGTTCTCGCATCCAATTTAGATACTATTAAATGCATTAATAATGATCCCCACTGTCTTGGGTTTTCTCCTAATGTTTCTAATGCCTTCATGTGTCCTATTAACGCGTCTACTAATCGGCGTAATTGRTAAGAAGATTCTTTTTTAATTGGTTCCAAATCGAATATAGCCTGTGTATGCACTTGTATTAGAACCTTTTTGTTATCGTAACGTTCTATCAAACTTTCCCACGCCACTTTATAATTATCGGCCGTGGTTTGCAGACAATTTATTACGTTTTCGGCGTCCCCTGATAACGATGAGCGCAAATAAAAAAACTTCTGGATATCATTCAACGACTCATTTTTGTGAACCAATGCCGAGAAAATATCATGAAATGACGCCCAATCTGTATACGCTCCGGAAAATTGCGGTATTTGAAGCGCAGCTAATTTTACAAACSCTTGGTTGGTCATTTCACTTGTTTTTGAAGACGCGCTTGCACTATTTTCTGTACTATCCGAGTTCGCAATTGTAGCACAATCTGTCGCTTTACAAATTTGCTTGCACTTCGCCATACTTTCAAAATATAAATTTTCAAAGTCAGA